TTATTAAATTCTGGATCAAATAATTAAATCAAGAAAATTTTACAATTATTTATATGAGGATATTTTGGTAAAGAAAATATAATATAAGGGTAGAGGAATAAATAATGGGGTATGAGGTAAAATTTTCTATATATTGAACTATTAGGGATTATAAGCCCAAACCCGACAAATATTTCGGATATTAAAAACCATCTTGTAGCATACAAATTATATATATATATTGAGCTATTAGGGATTATAAGCCAAGCCCAATCCAGTGATTCACTTCGTCTCAGCAGCTCGATCAAATCAGTAAAAACAAGTTGAAGTCGCACAACTCACCGTAGCCGAAAAACGCTTCCGGCAGAAAAGTCATTCCACATGTATTGTTTCCTTCTCTCATCTCTTTCAGTTTTTTCTTGTTCATAATTATGTTTCTACCATTACGTTTTGCTCTAGCGTAAATTTACAACCAGTGTTGTTGATTCATACAGTAACGAAAAAAATTGTGAATTAGGTCAGTAATTGTGTGTATCTATATTCATATATGTGTGTTGTGTTTGTGTAGATTCCCAGGTTGAATTTTGTCATGATGAAAGTAAATAAGGGGAAAAAAGAGATACGAATTGGGGAAAAGAAGAAAAAAAGAAACTTGGAACAAAACGTTGATGATGTTGAGACATATGTTACAGAGAACAATGATGGTATTATAAATTTGTTGTTATCATGTTTTTTTTATAGCACCGATACCTCTGAAAAAAAGAGGCCGTCTGACACCCCAACCCCTACACATATTTATTATTTTTTTGAAATTATTATCAGTGTCGCCCATGCCGGTGTCGTGTCCTATTCGGGGTGTCTATGTTTCATAGCTTTGTACTTTGTTGAACTGTTCCTGAAGTAGATTGGTTATTTCAGTAGATCATGGACTGAAGGTTATGAAGAGAAAAAAGGTGAAAGTTTCGGGTGGTAGAAAAAAGAAGAACAAGGACGTAAATGTTGTTGCGAAACAAAGACCAGAAGATGACGAAGTTGATTTAGAAGAGCAAAGTGGTGAGTTGATGATACTGGTGTGTAGGTTTAAATATTTTGCTGTTTTTTGTGCTCGGGCTTTGTTGAACTATCTCTGAGGTAAATTGGTTGTTTCAGTGGTTCCTGAAATGCAGGCTATAAAGGGAGAAAAGGTGAAAGTTACTACTACCAGTCGAAAAAGGAAAAACAAAGACAGAAAGCTAGTTGGAAGACAAAGACGGGAGGATGTAGAAGTGGATTTAGAAAAGGAAAATGGTGAGTTGATTATGGTCTGTGGCTTTTATACTGTGAGTAGAATGTTTTGAATTGAACTATTCATGCTGATCTTACCTTTCTTCATCATTAAAATTAGATGGAGTAGTGGAACATTGCGATGCTAAACAAGAGGAAGTCAAAGACTCAAAGAAGCATAGAGATTCTAATACTGGAACATTTATCAAACCTTGTAATAAAAAGAGAGAACAAGATCAGCAGGAAGAAATTCATATTATTTCCTCTGGAGATGACGACGGCTCAAATGGGATGAAAAGTATGAAATGTTTTCTTTTTTTCGAGAGAATTATTTAACATTTTCTTAAAACAATATAAATATCTTAACTTTACATGTATGTTATTTCCTTGGGATGATATGGGTGGCATATATTGTGAAGTTTTTTTTACATGTACTTTGGCACTATGTGGATAGAAGCATGGTCTTGGATAGAACATTATGGCGAAGTTGATCCAGGTAGCCGATCCCACTTAGTGGGATAAGGCTTGGTTGTTGTTGTTGATTTTGTTGTTGGTGTACTTTGGCACAATTTACAATAGTAGTTGCCATACATATTTACATATATACATATGATTTAACATTTCAACATCCCCTATGTTAACTTTCATGTGCATTATGTCTTTCATATTTTGTCAACATCCACTCTACTTCCTAATATCCTTTAACATTATTCTTTCAACATGTTGACTATTGGATAGTTGTGCACCCTTGTACTTTGTGCAAATTTTATGCTATTGTCCATTTATTGCCATATATGATGTTGTTTCTTTCTGACTGGGAAATACTCCAATTACAGAATGGATCATGGAATACCATCAAAGTAGACCAGGATTGGAAGTGTTGCAAAATCAAATTGACGATTTTGTAACTGATTACGAGGAGAAATTGGAAGAGGTACATGTTTTGAAAAACTTCTGTCAAACTAAACAGAGATTGGATTCTGTTAGCCAATGTTTCAAAATTGTTGATACTTTATACAAATTTCTTCCAAATAATAGTTCCATAACCCTTTTTCAGTGGGAATTATTTATCATGGCATGGATTTTATTATATATTGAAGTTGAAAATAAATTGATGTTGGAAAATATTTTTTTTCGAGTTTTCTTTGTATGCCTACTTGTTGTATGGCTTTGAAAGAATAACTAGTAAAATAAAGTAATTGATATGTATTCTATGTATTTGAGAGGCCTGGTACTCTCCCACAACAACGCCCTTTACAAAACTCACGATCGCTCCTTTAGTTCCTCCTTTCCATTATTTATAGCCTCTCATCCCACACCCCTAATTGAACTTTGGGATCCTCAAGTGTTTAATATTCAATATACAATTTTCAGTTATGAATGATCTCACATTTGTTACTTATTTTGGTTTCCATTTGATTATTTTGTCGTCAATGTAGGAAAAAAGAAGCTCTTGCTGCAGAAGGGGGATGGACGGTGGTTGTACAACGCAAGGGTAGGAAGAAAACTACTGACTCTGAAAGTGGGATTGCTGTAGGCTCGGTTGCTCAAGCTGCCGTGGAGGATAAATTGGCCAAAAAGAAAAATAAAGGAGTTGGTCCAGATTTCTACCGCTTTCAAAAAAGAGAAGCTCAGAGAAATGGTATGACTTGTTTTTCAAAATGTTTTGCCCAATTTTTATATCCTAGAGATATCTTATCGCTGATGTTATTTGTGTCCGCATATATTATCGCCGATGTTATCTTTTAAACTTTACATAATATCTATGTTAGGATTCAAAATCCTTCTGCCATTAAATTAGAATTTTATGCAAAAAAAAGTGTCAAATAGTGTTTTTGGACCTTCATGAAATGAAGGTTACCTTAACTTGTTAGTGAGAATACCTTGAAGTTATATGATTTTGCACTAGGTGTTATGCGTTATTATCCCCCCCTTTTTTCCCCCCCAACCCTATATGCTGTCTTAAATGTACTTTCGTAAAATTAAAAATCAATTTTGATTGATGATCTAACTGAGATATAAACCATTCATTTTTTGCTTGCAGAGCTAATGTTATTGCAGAGCAAATTTGAGGAGGACAAAAAACGTCTGCAACAGTTGAGAGCTGCCAGGAAATTCAGACCTTACTAAATGGTGTTGATGGTAGCCGACGATTCTATTCTTGGGGGTTGAGGATTATATTTATGAAACCCAGAAGGTGAATTATCATATAGTCCTGAAAATTTGTTCATTTACCATTTCAATTTTGCCAGAAATGTGTAAACATACGGAAGTATTTATTTTAATTTGAGTTATTTGGTTTTGGTGTGAAGACCATACGGGCATTCCAATTTTGCCAGAAATGTGTAAAAGGAAGGAAATAGTTATTTTATTTTATGCACTCTTGGTATGAAATCTTTCCCCATGGATCTGGATCCTCAGCAGTTTTTTCTCTGCTGTGTCTGTTCAGCACAAATTTTAATCCTTAGATGATATTCTATGTCTACATATATGCTTGATCATTTTATTGCCTATCAACCATTGGATTTGAAGTAGCATCTAGATTGAAGATAAAACTCCATATTCAACCTTATTAGTCAAAATAATATGAAAGTAATGGGTATAAACCTCATCCATTAAGTCAAGTCTTAAATCAATTTTTTTTGGACTAAATCAAAGGCATAGTTCGTAGTTTAGTCATGGATTAAAAGTAGGAATGAGAAGAAAAAATAAAATACCTGAAAGATAGTAGAAACTTGACGTAACCATGCAATCACAATGCGTTAATCAGCAGTTCACACACGATCTTTCGTATCATATTTATTTCATGACAACCTTTTTCAGCTCACGATAGAAGCAAATATTATAGAAAAATATAAGAACATTTCAATTTGTGACTTTTCGCCCAATTTAAGTTGGCAACAAGACTTTTATTTTAAAAAAAGTAGCCACCATAAATAATATGGTTATAGTTATGATACATTTTATTATTTAAAACTATTTATTTTAAGTCAAATTTATTATTGATTCTATTATAAAGAAAAAGACAAAATTGCACTAGGTATTTTAATTTTTAAAGCTTCCAATAAATTATTTATATGTTTTTTTCTATCAAATTAGTCAATTATTTTTTTAAAAAATGTTTATATTGTAGAATTATTGTAATTCTTAGTTCATCCCTATTATAAATTTGTATATATAATTATTAAACAGTATATTATAAAAAAAAATCACCATAGTTAGACCTTTATTGACAACGGTGTCACAATTTTAAAAAAGATTTTATTTTTGATGTATTAAATATTCTAATATACATTCTAATACAATTTTGATGGTTTCTTTATGAATTAAAGCTTAATATACTTGTTGAATTATTAAGTAAAACTTTGTGATAAAAAGTGAAGTCTAGATTTAACATTACTTACATATTTATAAACGTTGGAAAAAAGATCAACTTGATAGAAAAATAATAATAAAGGGTACATAGTTTTGTCAAGAAAGTAATAATATTATTATTGATTCCTCGTGAAATTGTAAATGAGAAATTGCATTGCGCAAGCTATTTCTGGTTGTAAAGTTGACTAGAGCTACCAATTGGCTTTGGTCGTTTTTATGTCTAAATTCAAACTAAGAAGTTTCAATTTGATGATCCATGCAATGACGCAACTACATCTATTTATATTGTTGCCTCATCTTATTCTAACATTAAAACAAAAACAATCAATCATTACCAAGTTAGTTTCAACTCTGATCAAACGAAGGTTAGAAAGTTTAAAAAAATGGTGGAAAAGAAAGTTGTGATTATAGGAGGTGGTGTTGCTGGTGCAATCCTTGCCAAAACTATACAACATCATGCTCATGTCACTCTTATTGATCCGTAAGCATTCTCTTTCTTTTTGCATCAATATTATAGTCTCTCCGTATCAGATACCAATACGACACACACACTTATGGCTACCTTCAATTTATTTATTTTGTTAAATTATTATCAGCGTCAACGTCTAGTGTCTGGTGTCTGTGTCTGTGTTTATGCTTTAGTGACTAATTTGGATTGTTGAATATAGGAAGGAATATTTTGAGATTCCATGGGCAAGTTTAAGGGCAATGGTGGAGCCATCGGTTGCAGAAAGGACAGTGATAAACCATAGAGAGTATTTCACAAAAGGTGACCTTATTATATCAAGTGCTATCAACATATCTGAATCTGAAGTCTTCACTGCAGATGGCCGTAAAATTTCCTATGATTATCTTGTTATTGCCACCGGTCACACTGAACCTATCCCCAAAACAAGGACCGAAAGAATAGACCAATACAAAGGAGGTAAGCAAATATAAGTGCTTAAGTTTGAGCTTATGTTTAAGCTGTTTCCATAAGTGATGAGGATTCTTTACTTTCATTGACAGAAAATACAAAGATAAAATCAGCACGTTCAGTTTTGATTATTGGAGGAGGTCCAACCGGCGTCGAGTTAGCAGCAGAAATTGCTGTTGATTTTCCTGACAAAAAAGTGACTATAGTGCATAAAGGATCAAGGTTGCTGGAATATATTGGGACAAAAGCTTCTAGAAAGACTTTAAAATGGCTTAAATCAAGGAAAATTGATGTGAAACTAGAACAATCTGTTGACTTGGACTCTTTCACAAATGAAAATAGAACATATCAAACTTCACTTGGAGAAACTATAGAAGCAGATACACATTTTTTATGTATAAGGAAACCACTTGGTTCAGATTGGATTCGTGAAAGCTTTTTGAAAAATGATTTGAATGGTGATGGAACAATACAAGTTGATGAATACTTGAGAGTTAAGGGAAAGAACAATGTTTTTGCAATTGGTGATATTACAGATGTTCAAGTAAGTTTTTACCAAAGCCTAGTCAATTTTACATATTTGAATATTTGTTAGTATGTTATTTTCGTTAGGGATGGTAAATTGGGCCCGGTCCGCCAGCATGTCTGTTTTGCCCGCATTTTTTTTTAGAGCAGATCAAGGTTTTGTGATGCGGGCCTAGATGGGACGGATATGCCTTTTTGCCATGCCTAATTTACGCACAAGAAATTCTAGTTAATGCCTATTGAGTACATATTCCGACATGGACACGGAACACAGACTTTTGACACGTGTTGTACTAGTGTCACACAAGTGTCGGACCCTACGACATGTCTACTCCTAGAGGTGTCTGTGTTTATTTATGCAATATTGTTTGATTTGAAAATTGATATATATGTTACAGGAAATAAAACAAGGAGTGTTTGCACAAGGTCATGCAAAACTAGTTGCCAAGAATCTAAAGCTATTGATAGAAGGAGGAGGGAAAGAACCTAAACTTGGAACTTACAAGGCACAACCACCAATGTCAATTGTTTCACTTGGAAGAAAACATGGTGTTGCACAGTTCCCTTTCATGACAGTTGTTGGAAGGTTTCCTGGTATGATCAAATCAGGAGATTTGTTTGTTGGGAAAACAAGAAAGGATTTAGGACTTGAACCTAATATTAAAAAATCTTAATTTCATAGAATGTTTGTGTGTATATAATTATTCAATTCATCTTTCAGAGTTATTGTTGTTCATGTTTGTGTTCATTATGAGTTTTCTTTCAGAGTGTATTCCATTAAATTTCAATGTATCTGTTGTAATATTTGTTTATGATTTTGACTTTTGTAAGTTTTGTATTCTTACCTTTTCATTATAAATGAATGATTTGATTTTTTTCTTTTATACTGAAATATTTTTTCTTTCTATAGTATAATTTTTACTCTATATAGTTTTCTTCTAACACAAGCAAAATTAAAATTAGCTAAGATATTGATACAGTCCTTCACAGTTTGAGCAATAGAAACAACAATTTTGTGGCACTGAATGCAGTCTACTTCTATCAAAACATCCGACCATATCATGATTTTTGTCTAGTTGAGAGTTTTTGCCAACTCCAAGCACCACCAAACTCTTAGCGCCTCTTCCACACACGGCTCCATTGTGATTTGCTGCTTCTTCCAGGACCTGAACACCGTATCTACAGCTCCATTCTTGGCAATGCACCTCAAGTAGTTTGTCCATCTGAAAAATATTCTGCATCAACGAACATAGAGCAATCCACACCCGGGAGTTCTTTTGCCTCCAACCAGTATCATTCCATGAGATGTCCTTGCTAGACTTATTGGCGCAAGAGAATTTCTCCACCAGGTAGACAGTTTTTCGCACCACCTCCATTGGATTGAGATCTTTATGTTGGAAGGTTTGGAGGTTCATTGCTTTCCATATGTTTCAAAACGTTGCACAAACCTTTTGTGTGCCAGAACTGTCACTACAATCAAACCAACTTAACAGCCGCAATCTCAAATCAGTATTGTCAGGGATTTGAATTCCCAAAGGAGGCGCAAACCACACCCAATTGGCCTCATGGCACTTGAGGAACAAGTGAAGTTCTGATTCTGGTTCAGTGAAGCTAGAGGACAAATATGACCAATCTTAAGACCTTTCCTGAGGAGGTTGGTCCTAAGGGGAAGGTTGCCTTGCACCATACGCCAGAAGAAGTTTTTAGCCACATTAGGAAAGTGGACTAGATTCCTTTCCACACAGAACAGTCATTGTCACATGAATTACCAGCCAAATCCATTCTCTTTTCCACGTCAATACAATAATAAGCAGACTTAATAGAGAAAATACCACTTTTTTAAGGGAACCATATCATCTTGTCATCCGGCAGCCTACGAGACAAGGGAATGCTAATAATTTGATGAGTCATAAAGGCACTGAAGAAAGAGGTTATGACATCTGTTATCCACATCTTCAAGCCTTCTCAACGAGGTCATCAACAATGACATCACTAGAGAAACTGTTGTTGGGGACTGGCACACAACTACCTAACACATAGGGAATCCACTTGTCTTTCCAAATCCAAACCTGTTTGCCATTACCATTCTACCACCTGCAACCCACCTCCACGAGCTTTCTGGCACTGAGAATGCTTTGCCAAGCATAGCTTGGAGAGTACCCCACCTTAGCTTTCATGAAGTTGGAATTAGGGAAGTATTTGGCTTTAAAGACTCTACCCAACAATGCGTGCTCACCCTGAATAAGACGCCAACATTGTTTTCCCAGCACCGCTTTGTTGAAGTTTTCAAACTCTCTAAACCCCACACCCCCTCTATTATTGGCTTTAGAAAGTCACTCTCACCGCATCCAATGAATTTTCCGTTGTCCCTCCTAGGCTTCCCATAAAAACATGGCAATCATGTTTTCAAATTGATCACAATAGCCATCAGGAATTTTATGACAACTCATAATGTAACTGGGGATAAGAACTTCCCTCCTTGCACCAGATAATTCCTTCTCTTTCCACCCTTTCAATTTCTCCCAAACGCGATCCACAATGAAGGAGGAAACATCATTCTTTGACCTACCGAACACATCAGGGAGACCAAGGTATTTTGAATGGGACACAACCTGTTGAAAATCCAGGGTCTCACAGATCAAGCTATTAGTTTCAACACTCACATTACGGATGAAGGAAACTTCTGACTCGTCCAGGTTCACCACTTGGCTCAAGCCTTTTTGGTACACCAGGAGAGTTTTCAGGATCACCGCTGCCTCCTGCAGGTTGTCATCATTTTCATAAGTCTGTATAACCATTGTATTTCATAAGTGTATAACTACTTAATTGTTTGGTTATGATCTTGATTGTTGGCCATAACAACAACTGAACAAAAAACATAAGGGCATGACAACTTAATTCTTTGTTGATAACATTAACATAACAAAAACGTATGACCTTAAGTGTTTGGTCATTACAGAAACTTCAAAAACATAACATAATATAAACAAGTAACTATTCTTGGGTTGGTTAGAGTGCTTGACCCTCATTCTATAACCGTTTGTCATATCTCTTTGCCTGACTTGTTGCCTTTTTTTTCTGCCATTTTATTGCCACCTTTAAGAATCGCTCTCTTGCCTTTACACATTCACTTGTTATGGTTAAAACTCACGCATTTCTTGCATCTTACAGTTTCAAGAGTTCTAGGAAATTTTTTGTGGTTCTTGGCTCATCATTTTCCTTGTTACAATTTTTCTTTAGACGACCGATAGGTATCCTCAGGACTGAAGGGTTGATTGGGTGAGTAACATTAGTAGGCCTTAGTTGTGGACCATTAGTTGGCATAATGATATGATTATAAGTATCCAACACAATAAATTTCATATACACGAAAAAAATGATGCATTAGTAAGTTAACATATTATGTCTATGTAATGTAACTTACCCTAATATGAGAAGGCGTTAATATGATGAAACATAATCTTCAGGCTCCTTCTTGTTAAATTATATGCATGCCATAGCACGACAACATAGTATTCCGGTTAAATCCCACCTCCTACAATTATATTTCTTTTGCAGCAAGTTAACGACAAATGTCTCAACACCGTTTAAAACTCCAAATATAGCAAAGTCATCATCGAAATTCTATTTTGCAATCCATCCTTCTGCTTCCCTCTTTATTTTTTGCAAGACTTGCTAGATGCTAGAACTTATAAACCTTCATACCTACCTAATTTCTCATTTTTAGTAGAAATTCTCACTATTATGTAATGTTTGATTCCTTCAAGTAGTGTAATGATTGACTTCTCTCTATACTCTAAGATTGTTCAATTAAGAGATTCACACATATTGTTGACTTGCAAATTGTACTGTGTGTCTATCCTGAAATGAGATCTACTATATCATTCAACAGGTACATCCATCATGTCTTTTCAAGCGTTGACATTAAGCTCTTTCACTCGATTCATTTCTCTTTTCTATCCGGGTATTGTTGTGGCCCTAGCTGCCCTCCATACAACTTCTTTCATCAGTATCCCATGGTACTTCTTCCTCCAATTGCCATTCAAGTGTTTAACACACAATCTATGTTCAACATGTTGGCTTGACTCTAGAATAGCCGATACCAAACCTTGTACATAAAAAAAATAATAATGATAAAATTAATCTTGTATCTAACATAGAATAATGATAACATAATTGAAGACATAAAATAATGATTAAATTAACCTTATGTTAATTTGATATAAATCCATAATCCTTATATTGAATGGAATGTAAGTCTTCGAGTAATAACTTAAGGAACCATTGCCACAAGTCCTTTGTTTCAGATTCCACAATGGCATAAGCTATTGGCTAATTCTTGTTATTTTCATCCTTACCAACAACACCTATTAGCTGACCTCTAAAGTCCCATTTTAGAAAACAAGCATCCAATCCAATTAAAGGCCTATACATGATTGCAAACGCTACCTTACAAGCTTCTAAGAATACATAGAATTTCTCATTTTTAGTAGAAATTCTCACTATTATGTAATGTTTGATTCCTTCAAGTAGTGTAATGATTGACTTCTCTCTATACTCCAAGATTGTTCAATTAATAGATTCACACATATTGTTGACTTGCAAATTGCACTGTGTGTCTATCCTGAAATGAGATCTACTCTATCATTCAACATGTACATCCATCATGTCTTTCCAAGCGTTCACATTGAGCTCTTTCAATCGATTCATTTCTCTTTTCTATCCGGGTATTGTTGTGGCCCTAGCTGCCCTCCATACAACTTTTTTCATCAGTATCCCATGATACTTCTTCCTCCAATTGCCATTCAAGTGTTTAACACACAATCTATGTTCAACATGTTGTCTTGACATTAGAATAGCCGATACCAAACCTTGTACATAAGAAAATGATAATGATAAAATTAATCTTGTATCTAACATAAGATAATGATAACATAATTGAAGACATAAAATAATGATTAAATTAACCTTATGTTAATTTGATATAAATCCATAATCCTTATATTGAATGGAATGTAAGTTTTCGAGTAATAACTTAAGGAACCATTGCCACAAGTCCTTTGTTTCAGATTCCACAATGGCATAAGCTATTAGATAAATCTTGTTATTTTCATCCTTAACAACAACACCTATCAGCTGACCTCTAAAGTCCCCTTTTAGAAAACAAGCATCCAATCCAATTAAAGGCCTATACATGGTTGCAAACGCTACCTTACAAGCTTCTAAGAATACATATAATTTCTCATTTTTAGTAGAAATTCTCACTATTATGTTTGATTCCCTTAAGTAGTGTAATGATTGACTTCTCTCTATACTCCAAGATTGTTCAATTAAGAGATTCACACATATTGTTGACTTGCAAATTGCACTGTGTGTCTATCCTGAAATGAGATCTACTCTATCATTCAACATGTACATCCATCATGTCTTTCCAAGCGTTCACATTGAGCTCTTTCAATCGATTCATTTCTCTTTTCTATCCGGGTATTGTTGTGGCCCTAGCTGCCCTCCATACAACTTTTTTCATCAGTATCCCATGATACTTCTTCCTCCAATTGCCATTCAAGTGTTTAACACACAATCTATGTTCAACATGTTGGCTTGACTCTAGAATAGCCGATACCAAACCTTGTACATAAGAAAATGATAATGATAAAATTAATCTTGTATCTAA